GACTCTCGCTGACGGACCATCAAGCAATAAGGTTCGACTTAGAGGCAGTAATAAATCACTCAGTACACACGAGAATCCCAAAACTCACCAACTGGGTATCCTATGTGGAGCGTCTCTGCCTGAGTCTAGATGAACTCCACTCTGACATAAATACAATAGAAGAGCGAGAGGCATCATCTGATAATCTAACAAATGCAATAAAAGATTCCTATGAGAACTTTTGTCCCGTAAAACAGAAGGCAGTCCACAGGGACGTGCCTTGGTGCGGAACGGGCAGCTCAGACGTCTGAAACAAGATGCCAGGGTCCTTTTCTTGAAACAGGGGAGAAGCGTTCCGAGGAGAAAAAGTGTTCCGTCCTTGTTACTTCTATTATCATTTGCATATCATTCAGAAAGACAGAACACTCGTTCTCCTGAGATCGTTGTTCCCCTGTGTCAAGAATAATGACCCAGAAAACTGTTCGACAAGGCAAAAACTAACGGCAACTGGGCAGGCTATAGAACAGCCCTAGACAAGTACAACCGTGAATTGAGAAAATCAAAAAGGAAATCACGGAGATAATTCTGCGAGGGGATAGACGAATTAGCCCCAGTAGTCTGGCTGGGAAAATCTTCACAATGAACAGAATAAAATGGGCGATCGATAGCTTGAGACCCTACAAATCTCCAGGCAAAGACGGGATTTTTCCGCACAACTGCCAAAAGGCTACGAGTACTTAAAGGTACACCTACAAAAGCTTTTTAAGGCAAGCCTGCTCCTAGGGCACATACCGCTTTCTTGGAGGGAAGCTAATGTGATATTCATACCAAAAACGGGTCGCCAACCCGAGGACGAACCAAAATCATATCGTCCCATTAGCCTAACCTCCTTTCTCCTTAAGACAATGGAGAAAGTAATCGACCAGTACATCACAAGCGAAACTCTATTGAGAAGACCGCTCTACTCGAAGTAATTTGCTTATCAGCCGGCAAATCCACAATAAGTGCTTTACACTGCCTGGTTAAAGACATTGAAAAGACAATCGAGTGCAAAGAGATCGCTCTCACAGCTTTCATCGACATAGAGGGCGCCTTTGACAACACCTCACATCAATCAATCTCCAGAGCATTACAATAATTGGATGTTGAAGTTCCAGTCGTAAAATGGATAGAGTCGATGCTGAAACACCGTCACGTTACGGCTAAAATAAACGGAGCATCAGCTACCGCTACCACGGTCAGAGGGTGTCCTCAAGGGGGTGTTCTTTCTCCACTACTATGGACACTGGTGGTAGACAAAATTCTTACCAGCCTGAGTAGTGCTGGATACCAGGTCATAGGCTACGCAGATGACCTAGCCATTGTAATCAAGGGCAAACATGAAGGCATAGTCCAAATGCAAAGTGCCCTAAACATCGTTAAAAATTGGAGCGAAGGCGAAGGATTATTCCTAAACGCAATCAAAACAATCCTAATTGTCCCGTTCACAAGAAGAAGCACGGAAAAAAATGCAATTCTATATCCAAGAGTAGTAATATACTTATAATTTTATATTTGATCTAGTAATAATTTACTTAGTAAAACAATAGGTACTTTATTATACATTGAAATATTTGCTTAATGTTATTTTGGAACTTTTTAGATATTCATCTCAATTATTTTTCATTTAAATCAAGAATAAAAAATATATTTCATCAAATATAGGTTTGTTCTTAATGTAATGTTGAAATAATTTCTCGTTTGAAATACCTATAGTTTGAAGAGAGTATATTATTCTTAAATGAAATGCATGTCTCTCGATTTCAGTTTCACTAGAAAAATGTCGAACCTGCCTATTCAATTATTAGGTGATTATGCTAGTTAACAACAATAGTAAAAAAATGAAAAATAAAATAAAATTTCACTCGAAATCGGTATCTAAACATCTGGCAACATAGCACAACACACGCACTTGATTTATCTTATGTCAGTTAGTTGAAGCATTAAAAATGCACGTAATTCATTCCTTTTTGAAAATAAAATGTTTACGTTTACAGACGTCGAATATGCAGATTCTTGTTTAGGCCGAATCGTTGCCCATTTAACTGCCAAAATGAAAGATTTTACAATAGAACGGCACCCACCTGATGAAAGATGAAAGAATATTGTGCCAGTTTTACAAATATGTATTGCGTGATACGGAAAGTGTGAGTGTGCAAAATTGCCAATAAGAAACCAAAACGTAAACAGATGGAAATAAATAAACTCTTCGCAAAAAAACCTTTAAATTGACCAGTTTTATTTACATTTATATCCTGGGGCCCGATTCTAGTCTCAGGGAGTACAGCGTGAAGATAGAACGAATGTTCTGTCCTTGTCAACGTAATAGAAAAGTAAACGAGAAGCTCTACTCCCTGAGACGAGAATCGGGCGCCAGGCACGTTGTTAACATTTTTCTAAATTTAGATTCTGCGATAACTCCGAATATCCTAACAATTGACCCATGGTTAATAGGAAAATTTTAGCTTGAAATAGGCCATATTATCTCATGTTAAAATATTTGTACCCATACTTGATACACACCCTGTATTTAGTCAAAAATATTAATATTTTTCCGCTACAAATCCTTCCAACCAAAAATAAATTTTTCATCTATTACAATATTACACAAACATGAATCAACAATTGTTAGTAGGAATCAGGCAATTTTTCAGGAAAGAAAGATATGTATTTAGAAATTTCGTATAGGATTAAGTTTATTTGTTCTCTCCGTTTTATTTTGGGAAATCGAAAAGTGCCAATTGTTAGGTTCGGTAACCTATTTTTTTGCGAGGCTCCTCAGGGCGCGAGGCCGTCGGCAGTCGCCGACCTCGCCGACGCCTAGCTACGCCACTGTCAATAATTCCCTATTAACAGTACTGCCACAACGCGCACGTCTCAAAAACGTCAAAATATTGCCTAGCGCTATTAGTGCCTGGCATTTTATACTCTTCAATAATTCCCTACAATAATATAATTTGCCCTTATTTTGACGGATTTTTGAAATTTGTCAGCAAAGCAAAGCTCATCCGCATTTAGGTAAAGGGCTATTTAAATAAAGTAGTTGCCTTATTACTGCTAGCTTTATTTTGAAATCTCCAATAACTCTCTAATTGTGCATGGGATATGCCGTAAAGCACGGATAATCTAAAAATATATAAGCAAAACAAACAAAATAACAAAAAACATAAACCATACCACCATACTGAGGTAGTTCATATACATATACTACATACACAGTGTGTAAAAAGTCCCGGAACAGTCAATTATTTCGAAAATGGTGCACAATTTAAAAAAACTTCCTGTATAAAAGTTGAAGGTCTTAATAAAATCTATTGAAATAGGACTTTTGTAATTATACAGGGTGGCCCAAAAAGTTGTGCTACACAAAACTTTATTTTTTTTTAATGAAATGATCTTTTTTTAATTACATTTTCTAATTCCTCTAGAGATTCTGAACAACAATTATGGAACATGTCATATGGCTTAACCCATTAGTTTCAGAAATAATTTGAATTGAAGGACATAAATATGATAAGTACGATATTACCTACATTTTGCATTGTTTCGAGTTGGTTCAAGATGGTCACCAGACCTAACGCCCCTTGATTATTTTCTTTGGGGACATCTGAAAAATGAAGTGTTTGTGACAAAACCTCCAGATCTGAACGAATTGAGAAGAAGAATTATTGAAGAATGTGCATCTATTAATCAAGAAATGTTACAAAACGTCGTCAATAAATTTTATTATAACCTAGCCCATTGTCAAACTGTGGGAGGAGGACATTTTCAGAATTTAATGAAATAACACTTAATTTTATTTCTGTTCTTTCAAAGTTATTGTTAATTTTACTTTACTGCTTGTATTTAATAATTTAGTTATTATTAAAATTTTGACTAAACTTGAGTGAGGTACATTTGATTTAACACAAGTTAAATGTTTTTTATTTCAGGATTTACCGTGAAACATTTTGAACCAACTCGAAACAATGCAAAATGTAGGTAATATTGTACTTATCGTATTTATGTCCTTCAACTCAAATTATTTCTGAAACTAATGGGTTTAGTCATATGACATGTTCCATAATTGTTGTTTAGAATCTCTAAAGGAATTAGAAAATGTAATTAAAAAAGGATCATTTCATTTAAAAAAAATTAAGTTTTGTGTAGCACAACTTTTTGGGCCACCCTGTTTAATTACAAAAGTCCTATTTCAATAGATTTTATTAAGACCCTCAACTTTTATACAGGAAGTTTTTTTATATTGTGCACCATTTTCGAAATAATTGTCTGTTCCGGGACTTTTTACACACTGTGTATGTAATAAATAATATGTAGATGCGAATCACTGGGTTAGTCCACTCTGTGAAGAAAAGCGAATTCGCAAAATTTGAAATTCAGGGAAAATTGCAAGTATATAGCTTCATTTTGCGTATTCCAAAAATTCTTTTTATAGGACTTGTTTCTGTGAAATATATGGAATTTAATTTATCATAAAAAAATTATTTTACTGTTTCTGACTGCGGCCTGCGGCCGCCCCTTAAGTTTGGCTGCCTTTGTGCCCGCAGAACCTGCACTCGCCTAAGAACGGCCTTGGTGATCTATGTCGATTATGGAGAAGCCATTTGACAAGGTCCCACATAATCTACTTCTGGGAAAGTTTCAACACTTTGGAGTGAGATGTTAACTCATTACAGGAAAATGTAAGAGCTTGGAAAGAAAGAAATAAAAGAACAATCAAACAAAAGAATTCACAAAAAAAGACAATCCCTAAGAGCCAGGAATAAATAATAGAAAAAAATTAAGAGCCTAGAGTGAAGAGATAAGGAAATTTCAAGGGTCTAGAATACTAAAATTAATGATTATACCAATAATAATTCCAATAATTTTCCGAGTGTTTGTTCTCTTTATTTAGGGACTAAAAATAAGTGCTTAATTTATCCGAATACTTACAAATAAATATATAAATATTATGTTTTTGAAAAGGTACCTACACGATGTATTTACTTATGTGAAATGGTTCTTGCAAGATTCACCAAAGTATAAGCCATCCTCAAAGCCTAAAAACGAATTTAATTTATTTCAAAATTATATATATGAGAAATATATATTTGCCTGTTTAAAATATACATTATTAATTTGTATCATGGCATTCATAGATCCATGTAGTTTAAATGGTCTACTCAAACCAAAAAATGTAGAAAAAGTTTTTTGATTCTCATCATTCCAATCATACCAGGTAAGATTATATAGAGAATTGGTAATATCGTCAACCTGAAATAATGTAATATGAGGAAGTTTTCTAGTTGATTTTAATATTTTACCAAATCTTCAAAGGCTTGTCCTTCTCCAGAAAAATAGAATGCCATAATTAGGGATGCCATGTAGTTAATTATTGGAGGAGCAGTGCTGTAATAAGGCTACAATACAAGTGTTAACAAACGAATAGGATTCAGGCTGCGAAATATCTACTCACCGAATAAAGAAGAGCCGTATCAAACATTATACAAAGTAACAAAGAAAAAGTTGTCATGCCAATTAATGAGAATTGTTCTCGGTTATAATGGCAATAAAGGCTATAAACAATTGGATGTAAGTGAGTTTTGAGCCCTTAAAAAATTATCTTACCTCCAAATTTTATGATGAGTCTTCACAATTTTTCTCAGATTTTTCTTAACATAACAATGACGATTATTGTCAGAAGCTGGAGGCATGTTTTTTTGAAACTTTTCAATATCGTCTTGTAAAATATAAAATTGAATTTTGGTCAATGCGTCGATATAATATGGGTAGTATAAAGGCAGCACAAGTGATAGAGACATAGGCAGCATAGTTGTAACAAGGCTTAATAAAAAGATTTGACGCAAGAAGGGGACGTAACGTTCAGCGGTAGCTACAAAAAAAAAATGGGTTCAATCGAGTCACTTTTGAAGATTCTGGCTAATTCAATTTTATATATAACAGCGGAATACCATTATTGACTTGACTCAATCATCATCAGATCTCCAAAACTATATGTATTGTAACAGAATTTATGTGCGCCTCCGCCACGGAATTCAGAAAACATGCCAAAGTTCCAGAATTGGACAGCTGATTCGAGATTTTACTTTGATGTTCGGGAACATGGTCGATCGCGGTTATTCCGGAATTTACATGAATAGATTTACCGATATATAAAGGCTGATATTAGCTAGAAGTTTCAAGTTTAAGTTTGGCTGTTATACGATTAATGTAACAAAACGGCCTAAAAATCCTTTTTTTGCTTCATAATACAATTAATTGGCTTTTTTACCCAGCGAGATTAAGTCCCTAAATTTCTGACGAAACCGTGTCAAGAGCCAAGGGTTATCAGTCGGTTTCCGAAACAGTGTGTTGACTGTGTCTTGAAACAGGACTATCGACTCCTGGTTCCATGAACAAATCGCATGTTTTGCGACCGATAAAAATCTCAAAAGCGTCATCAAGCTGCCAATATAAATAGGCCTGTGAACCTACTAGATTGAACGTTGAAGGTCACTTACTCATCCTTGTTATCATAGGATTCACACGTTCGGACTTATTTTTGTTTGATAAACACAGTGCGCGTGCAATACAGACAGCAGCAAAAAGCAACGACTGTGATATATTCGAGTAAGTGACCTTCAACGTTCAACTTTGGTTACACAGAGTTTAGTGTTGACGTCTTTCTGATGTTTCAATTTCAAGTATTTTGATTTATTCGTCATGATTGTTGTTTTCTGTCTATTATTTATTTTCTCCCCGGTGTAAAGAACAAACCCTTTGGGTTAGCTTCAAAACTCAAATCTCTTCTCCAACATGTATCTCACCCTGAATAACAAGGCTGTTTTGTCATTCTCTTGTCGAAGACGCCCGTGACTTTTCACCGATTAAGAATTATAAGCTAGTCTTTATTTTCTGTATCTTTTAATCCTCAATTTCTCATGTAACTTTCACCATTAGGGAACGCCCTATTCAGGACGCTCATTGATTTCAGTCCCTATCATTCCAAATCTCCGTATGTATTTTCTTTCATTTCATTTCAGTAAAATTGTTAATAATTTACTGTATATTCTTTACTTTTCTCTCATTTCCTTACCAAGATTTACCATTTGTTCAATAAACCATTGTTAGAGTTTAGTAAGAAAAACAGATTCTTTTATTTCCTTCGGAAAACTCCGAGTTAGCATTCCAACTAACGGCGTACAGCTCAGGTAGCAAGAACCCGCACTGGAAGAGGCAATCTAATCAGATTACTGAAAAGTATCCGTTCAAAGTTACCTAGATTTTCAGTAGGACTTTAAATAAAGTCCCTGGTGGCACGCTACCGCAGTACAAAAAATGCCTTTACCAGTGCTAAAACAGAGTTTCCCTTACTCACCTGTCACAATCAGGTGGCGGTGGTAACATTAAGATAGTGAATATTGTTAAGAGTTGTAGAGAGTTAAGTTGTTTGAGTTAATTAGTGAAGTAATTAGTAGGAACTAGTTTGGATGTAAATGTGAAAAAATTATTACCTAAAAATTTGAGATTCTGGAGGAAACGAGATATATGAGGCAATATATCAACTTGAGCCGCTGAAGTAGCAAATCCGACTACAATACCAGAGCATACGAAACTGATTTTCACTCGTTTACACAATAAATTGATTCTATTTTTTGTTTTTGAGGATATATTGTTGAAATTCCATGATAGTTGAGAAGCATGAATTATTTTCCATTTCTTCCACACATTGTAACTGAGCAGATTGACAGCCAGTTGCAGTATAACCTACAAGATAGGTATAAAATTTTAGTATTTTTTTTTATAGAAAAATCGCTAGTTCTTACAGGAACAATGATTGTGATGATTATTCCAATTTCTGTCCAAAATTGCTTATTTAAAATATGCAAACCATAGATTATAAGTACAACACTAATACAGATAAGAAGCAATGAATTAGCTAGAAAATAAACATAACCTGCTCTAGTGCTGATTATTTTCAGAGCTGTCGATGTGATTGGAAACAGATTATCCAGATCTGCAATTGAATCAATTTTTATAATTTTTAGAAGAATTTGGCATAAATAAGATACCGGTGTAAGTTTTCACTTCAATGATCGTCATTTCAACAACGAATACCTACATATAAGTTCAAATGCTTTTGTTTTATACTCACTTTCATCTAGAGATTATTTATGAAGGATTTTATATAGAGAATAAAACATAAGGAATTCAAATTGAAATACAATTATTTGCCATTAGCGGTTTACTTTGAGGCACATAAATTTGTTTTAAATGATTTTTATACATTTGAATGCTTTTAAATAGCATAAAATAATTTTATTTTAATTTGAATTTGATCGATGTTTCAAAAGCAACTGGAATAGATAGCGAAGACATTGATCATGCAAAAATTTCAAAAACCAAAATAACGATCGATCCAATCACACTTTGTCAAAGTCAAGTATTGCAGGATTCATGCAAATTATCGGAAATAATTACTATATACTATCCAGTAGATAAGCCCATTTTTGCACGATTACCATCAAAGTTTTGTCTTGAATACTGACACTGAAGTAGCACTAACTGTTTCAGCTGGCAGTTGATTCCAGAGGGCGAAGACTCTGTTTGGTAGAAAGTTATCCCCACATACTGTGGAGTAGTTATCTTTTTAAATTTGAGATTCTGACCCCTGAGTCTCTGTAGACTTTGTTCAAGGCATAGAGGTACCTTACTGTTTGAATGTTGTTGGGAAATGTTTAGTAAATAGGTGAAGATAGGATCTCCTCTTGTAAGCTCAGCAGTTTTTGTTGTTCTAGTCTTTCCTCATATTATGTAGGTCTTCTTCTACCAATTTGCAATTGTGTTGGTTGGGGGGTGTTTGGGAAGAACTTCTTAATAGAAGGCATAAGTTGCTGTTGGGTTTTTTCATATGTGCTGATCAGGACAAGTTTATCAGAAATCCAAGGTCATTGTATTGCTGAACACTGACTAGTACTGACCCATTGGATGGTACATTCATTTTCTAGGTTATTTTTCCCAAGATGGAGTACCGCTCATTTTCGCGCATTAAGGGGCAAATGCCAGTTCTCACACCATTTCCTAATTAAGTTTCAATCATTCTGGAGCGAGTCAGAATTGTTGGTGGGACCATAACTTTTTATGTCGTCGGCGAACGCTGCACATGTTGATATCATTAGGTGAAGAGATCTATAGTGTAAGGTACCAACAACAGAGGTGCAAGTATCGAGCCTTGGGGTACACCCCTTTGTACTGGATAGAGTTCAGAGTACTAGTCGCCAACTCTGACTCTGTACTCCCTGTTTGTAAGATAGTCTTTGGTCCAAAGCAGTAGGTACATCCACACAGTTTTAGCAGAAGCCTCTGGCTTGGGACTTGGTCTAATGCTTTGGCAAAATCCAAGTATAAAGCATCAAAGAGCGATTTTGGATGTAATGATTTTGTTCAGTTGTTGTCGAAGTTTATCTGGAGATCTTCAACAATTAATGCCTCCGTCGTGAATACTTTAGAAAACTCGTTTGCAAGTTGGTGGCTTGATTTATATCTTCATAATTCATGATGTTGTAACAAAATCAATAGCAAATTCATAATCTCGGTCCAGCTTCATGTTTCGTGGGAAAAGTTTTATTTTTATAGGTAGTTAAAATGTGACCCTAATGGGTTTTGCACACACATGGAGTTCTGCGAAAGACCTAATCTGGTTAAAATCACTTGAAAGCCAGAAAAGTATCGAATTTTATAGCTTCAAGATTATTTTGCTTAACTCGAAGTTGACAAATATATAGGCAAAATTTATGTTTTCCTAGATAAACACTAAACTTTAGACTAAACTAAATTCCATGTGATTGTAATAACTTATTCAAAGTTAAGGATAATATTCTGAATAGCCACCAGTGTTGCCAATGACCCGATAATTATCAAATTCTACCATAATTTTGACTACGATTCAATAATCGATAATGACAAGCCAATCTACCATAATTTATTGAAACTACAATTTTAATATAAACTTTTCAAATTTCTAGTTAAAAATTAAAAATTTATTGAAAAATTGAAGGTGGTTGTTGGTTTTGAGTGTTTTGACGTACTGGTGTGAGCACCAAACACTATTCCCAGATTGAGCCAAAGTTTCATGCCAATAACTTTACTGGTTTCCAAAATATGGCCCTTTGAAATATTTGAAAATCAAATTCCCATGCATACCCCTTTGGAAAAATTCGAATTTTTAAATTTTTGGATTTTGCGATGTTTGACTTTACCAATCAAAAGAGGAGATCAAAATTAGTGAAAAAGCATTTTTGCAACTTTATTTTTAGAGTTTTAAAGCCTTGTAAAAAAATAAAAACGATTTTTGCAATTTTTGGGCTCAAAAAATTTCAATAATCTGACATTCTTTCACAAAATTGCTGATTACTCGGTTATTATCCAACAAATATGTTCTAAAATTTTATATTCTGAATCAGAATTAAATTATCTTCCTGATAAAATAAGACTCAATTCTATATCTTAAATAATTCTGAAGATATTGGGGCTCAAAGTTGAAACTTTACCTCAAATTTTGCAAAAGCTTCCAGGCGGATAATCTTGAAAACGAAGCCCTTGGGCTTGGAGTCTTGAATAACCTTTTTTGTAGCTCTTATTAAGAGCTACAATTGGACAAAAGATTCATGCCAATAACTTCACTGGTTTCCAAAATATGGCTCTTTCAAATATTTGGAAATCAAATTTCCATGCATACCCCTTTGGAAAAGTTCGAATTTTTAAATTTTCAGTTTTTTGAATTTTTGACTTCATCAATCGGATGAAGAGGCTAAAATTAGTAGAAAAGCATTTTCGCAACTTTCCTTTTTGGGTGTTAATGCCTTGTTAAAAAATAAAAACGATTTTTGCAATTTTTGGGCTCAAAAAATTTTCAATAATCTGACATTCTTTCACAAAATTGCTGATTACTCGGTTATTATTGTAACAAATAAAATATAAAATTATATATTCTGAATCAAAATTAAATTATCTTCAAGATAAAATAAGATTCAATTCTATACCTTAAATACTTGTGAAGATATTGAGGCTCAAAATTGAAACTTTACCTCAAATTTTGTAAAAGCTTCTAGGCGGATTATCTTGAAAACAAAGTCCTTAGGCTCGGAGTCTTAAATAACATTTTTTGTAGCCCTTATTAAGAGCTACAATTGGGCAAAAGATTTATGCCAATGCCTTCACTGGTTTCCAAAATACAAGCATTTGAAATATTTGAAAATCCAATTTCCATGCATACCTATTTGGAAAAGTTCGAATTTTTAAATTTTTGGATTTTGCAATTTTTGACTTAACTTATCAAAAGAGGAGGTGAAAATTAGTGGAAAAGCATTTACGCAACTTTGTTTTTAGGGTTTTAAGGCTTGTAATAGTTATTTATGTATCAAGGGTACTAAGTAGATGATTATGCCCTGAGGGCGACAATCTTACAAAGCCGAGGGCCTCTGGCCCGAGGGTTCGTAAGTCACCGGAGGGTATATATATCTATTAGTACCCGTGGTGCATACAAACTTTTATGTCATACCAGTTGGTTGTGAATAATAAATACCTGGGAAAAAAGTGTCACTTCGCAAATTGTCATCAGTGTGTAAACATCATAATTTTTTGACAAAAATAATATGTTTATAAACGTAAATTTTTATTTTGGTAATAAAGAATAAGTTAATTGAAAACTGTTTTTTGCGTCTTTATGCCCGCGCGGGCCATAATGTGTACTTTATGCCCGCACGGGCATAAAATAATGAATTATATAGCTGGTATCTAAGGTGTAAAAACACAATAATGTATTGGTATGACATAAAAAAATAAAAACGATATTTGCAGTTTTTGGGCTCAAAAAATTTCAATAATCTGATATTCTTTCACAAAATTGCTGATTATTCGGTTATTATTATAACAAATATGATGTAAGATTATATATTCTGAATCAAAACTAAATAATTTTCAAGATTAAATAAGATTCAATTCTTTATCTTAAATACTTTTGAAGATATTGAGGCTCAAAGTTAAAACTTTGTCTCAAATTTTGCAAAAGCTTCAAAGCCGATTATCTTGAAAACGAAGCCCTTGGGATCGAAGTCTTGAATAACCTTTTTTGAAGCTCTTATTGAGAGCTACAATTGCAAGAGTCCCAGCTAGAACCCGAAAAATGAAAATAGAGATAAAAAGTCAAAAAAGTTGACACAAACTTTTTCTGATAATTTTTCTTGGAATCTGATAATTTTATCCTCAAATCCTGATAATTTTAAATTTGACATCTGACAACACTGATAGCCACGTTTTCTGACGAACCCAGATTTCAGGCAACCGATACCGTTGCTGAAAAAAATTATATTCGAAGCATGTGTGTGTGGAGCGAAACAATGATTACATGAGCTAGATTTTTAAGATACAATAACAAATTGTATAACAATATAATAATCATGGATATTACTTTGGCAAAATGTTAACTGTAAGATAGTCAAATGCTTAGTTATAATTAAGATATAGGTAGGTTAAGATAGGAGTGATTATTCAATTTTTTTATTATTAAATTAATAGAGGATAGTTTAATTCACTTTACTAGGTTAGAAATTAGGAAATAAGAATAGAAAGCATAGGTAATTAGAAAAGGGAAAGGTTTTCAATTAAAACGGAAAACATTAAATGTTCAATTGATAATTTGACCACATGTAACTAGCGAACTCTGTTGGAGAGTCATCAAACTGGATCACAGGGAAAAGCAGTTTGAATAGGGTAGGTTGAATAAACTTGAGAACCAATGGGAAAACAACAAGAAACAGGATGGTACTTTCAGCGAATCGGGGTAGCCAATGGGCTTCTAAAGTGGTACCCAGAGGGTGGTTCCTTTCGCTTATTTAAGCAGATGTTGAGGCCAGTTAACTTAAGTTATCGCCAATTCGCCACTAGTTTTTACTACTAGTTATCGCCGGAAATTTAATTCGCCAAATCTCAACGAGTTCTCGATCCGTTTCTAATCTAGTTCATCTGCCATCCGGTGTTTTAGTGTAAGCTCTCCAAAGAGGTGATAGATTATTTTTAATTTCAATTCCATTGAAGTGTCAGATTTGGAACCAAATATTTTAATTGGGAAAATACTCTCTTTTCTTTCATTTCTCTTTAGTTTAAGAACTAATTACCAAATTTCCAATAGGTACGTTGTGACTATTATTAGCAATTTGATCCTAATGGATTCTAGACATTGAAAAAAAGCTTCCAATTATTTTGTTGTCCGAGAAATAAATTAAATCAACAAAAACCCGACTTGATGTTAATTGAATCGTTCTCACGAAAAACTCATTTAAAGTTCGCGTGCTCGGGTCCATTGACTGAAGATTAACAAACTTAATTGAATTACGACAAATTAATTGACATCTTTGGGAAATGGAAACCATTAATTATTGTCCATACGAAAGTCTAGTCTGTCTTGAGACATACAGTCATCATGTATGGAATGCTTTTGGAATCGATACAATATTATATTCAAGTAAGAATTTTTGTGTATGACATCATTGACAAACAAGTGTTTTTTTTTCTAGCTGGAATATGGTGACAATATTTGGAAAGAAATATTAAAAGTAGCAAATTGTAAGCACACCGTATTCAATACTCACCAAATTTATCCAGACGGTTTGGCTTTGGAATTGGGACAAGCTTGTGCACAAGTAACCGGAGGAAGCTACGAGAAGTTTATTAGCTTTTTTGGAAAATGTTTTATGCGATTTACATCCAGATTTGGGTAAAACATTGCTGATATTCCATTTATATAAACTATATCTTTGTTGATCTAGTTACGATGTTACCATCAAATCAACTGGTCGATACTTCACCGACTTTCTACAAAGCGTGGACAATATACATCATCAATTTTCGTTTACTTATCCGAAAATGAAAAGTCCATCGATGTATTTGACGGAAATTGATGAAAATGGATGCGTTTTGGTTTATAGGAGTAGCAGATCTGGATACACGTCGTACATAATGGGCGTCCTTGAGGAATGTGCCAATTATTTTTTCCATTTGAAAATCAAAATCAAAATTTTGGAAGAGGCTCATTCGGCAAGCGGATCCAAAAAAAATATTCTTGTTAGGTTTAGGTTGGATTTTGAGAATAAGGCTTATGTAAGTATGTATATTACTTTTTATCAGCAGTTTCTTGAATGGACGAAGTTTTGGGAATCTTCTCAAACAAATTATGAATTATTATTCCATTGTTTTTTCCATTATAAGTGATGGAAAGATTATCGAACGAACTCAAGAAGAAAAATGATGTTACACATCCTAAATGGAGAATCATCTTGTTCTAAATAAATCTCAATCTAGCAATTGAGGTTAATTTGTGATGTCACAGCGTGCCCTCGGCTTCACGAAAAACGTCTCTAGATAAACTAAAAAGTGGCTAACCTCCACTTTGATTTCACTTTCCAAATCAATTGCGGGGTCAGGAATAAATGACCATTTTGGAAAGTACCCTTTCGTTTTATTCCTGATAGGTTTTGCGCCTTTTGTTGCCTCAGCACTACGATTTGTCCGATTTTTCCGATTTTTCAGGATTTTACCTCATTGATTAGATGAGAATAAGAAGATATTCTTCCCATACCTGTGTAGCAAATGCGCCCAAGTTTTAATTAGTTAGATGGTAAATGGCGAGCGGTTTTATTTAATTTTTAATCGCCTCTTCCTCTCATTGTCATCTGTTCAAATAGAATTCAACCCACCATAAATCTCATAAGGTTATCTCCGCATTGACCCCTCCACCTACGTGTCCTAATTTAGTATTTATCGGAGTAATGTTATTTATCGTTTCGGCTGTTCAAAAATGCCGACAGCGCGTGTACACAATTAAACAAGTAAGCCTTGTAATTAATGTCGTTTGGTGTTTAGATTTATGAGTTTATATAAAAGGTTAAAAAATCTCGTCTCTTCCGGTTGCGTAATTTAGTTTATTCGGACCGCTTCCGGGAGATAACTGATGATTATAGAGAGAGCTCCGTATAATAATTTTTCAAATTAGATTTTGACCTTTATCGCTGGCTTATGCAGCGAAACAGATAACTATCCATATTTTAGATGCTGCATATGCAAAGTAAGGAAAACGTTCAAAGATTTGCAAAATTACATCCAATTTCTGTAGACCTATTTATTTCTCTGTTTCCATTTGCTGTATTGATGGACAGAAGTTTGCAAGTAATCGCTGTTGGTGACAATTATTCGAAAATCTGGAATCCTAATGAGTTGTGCATCAACAAACCGGCTTCAAAGTATTTTAGGCTTCAACGACCTAAAGGAATATCTTTGACATGGAAAAATGTAGGATTTTAAGGAATAGTTTGCCCAAAGTTTTAATTACTGTATTTCTAGATGAGAAATCTTCAAGCGGTTATCTTTGAAATGGAATGTAACCGCGGATATGATAATTTCGATGAAAATCGAGCAGAAGATTCAAAGGAAACAGAAAATGCAAATGTCATTGCAAAAAACTATTTACTTCTCAAAGGACAGATGAAATTTATACCAGATATTAATAGCATTGTATTTTTGTGCAGTCCAATGTACGTATGTTATATAGAAAATTTAATAATAATTATCAATTTCATAATATGTTCCTTTTTATAGAATTAATGACATTGGAGAATTAAATCTACAATCTCTTTTCCTCAATGATCTCAATTTCCATGGACTAAGTCGCGAAATGGTTTTAGCTGGATGGCAGCATAATTCAAAGTACAATTTTTAACTATTTCAAAGAAAATATTTCAATTACAATTACTTTAAGGCTTCAAACTATGTTCGACAAAGCCGAACAAAACGCGGAAGAGCTGGAACTAAGCCACGAGCTTTTGGATCAATGGAAGAAACGTGGCGACGAGCTTTTGTATTCCATGATACCAAAAGCTATCGCTGATAGGTTGAGTACTGGAACACCCGCTCTAGAGACTTGTGAGGTAAAGAGTAAATATTATGCGCAATTATTTATTTGTCTACTTAATGTTTAATTAGTCTTTTAGCTCAGTCAGTATTTTGTTTTGCGAAATTGTTGGACTACAATCGGAAACAGTAAAAGAAACGATGGACATGGTTACAACTATGAATGAAGTATTTTCGGCCTTTGATCAGCTCATGGACAAATTCAACGTTTATAAAGTAAATATAACACTAAATCATCATATATTTGTTTCAAAGCTATAATTGTTTAAGGTTGAGACAGTGGGTCAAGTCTATATGGCAGCGTGTGGTGCTCCAGAAAGGGTAGAAAATCATGCCCAAATAATGGCAAATGTTGCTTTGAATATGATAGACGTTGCCAGAGCTGTTGAAGTGCCTTCAGGCATTCCTGTTGATGTGAGAGTTGGAATGCATTCTGGACATGCTGTAGCTGGATGTGTGGGCATTAAAGTACCTCGGTACTGTTTTTTTGGCGATACCGTTAACACAGCTTCAAGAATGCAGTCGAGCAGTGAAGTATGATCTAGATTTGTTTGTAGAATAATTAATTTATGGGGATAAAATTAAGACATACTCTGTGAAAAGATGTTCTGTAGTTTCCTCGCAGAACCGGCAGCTGTCCTCGTTTTCTCCCGAGAAACATCTTTGATTGCCTTAACCCTGGAAGTTGTTCTCAGAGGCTAATCCATTTGGTCAGCTCTTCCTTTCTGAACGCTTCCTTATAGGTATGCGTCCCTATGCCACAGAAAAGCTCTGGTCCTGAAAGCGAAGTTTGTTCTCCCAAATTCGCCAATTGGTCCGCTACCTCATTGCCTCCGATCTCTGCGTGTCACGGTTTTCACTGGAGGAATAGTTTGTTATTCTCTCCCAGCTTGGTTAACTTGTTCAGGCATTCCTTCCCATTCTTCTCTGCCTATTATCACTACCATGAAGCGTTTCTCAAGAATATATGTTCTGATCGTATCATTCCTAGGGAGCACGAAGACCGGGATAAACTTGGTTAGAGATGCCAATTATCTCCTTCCAAGCCAACCTCCCTCGCCAGCTCACTCCTTCGTGATTTTAGTTATTGCTCATCTAGAAGCCCCCTTCACCACGCTTTTCATTTCCTTGAGTGTGTCAACATATAATTTCCCGTCCGAGTTTATTATTGCAGTGTCATATTGGTTACGTAGTTCAGCAGGCAAGTACTTTGTGCTGGAAAGTATTCCGAAGTTAATGATATTTTGGTATGTTATTTGTGGGTAGTCTGTGGAGTAAAATCTGGGTTTTCGATTTCGAAGACCCTGTGCTAGCTTGGAGGGAATTGAAAAACCACGAAACTTTCGGACTTTTTCAGTGTTTTGCTCATATTTTCTAAACCATGCGTTTTAGCAGAATACACCTAGTTATAACGTTGAAGAACATTAAATTTCCTTCAAGTTTCAGTAGTCAAACGTATCATTCAACGCAATAATAACCGAGATACAGTATAGATACAGAAAAATTCTAAACTTGTCAAAAATTTCTTTTGGCCGACCACAATTCAAACCAAGCATGAGATAAACATATTTTATCCTCATCTCTTTCACGCGCACCCACAGACGATAGATTTATGTCTATAGTGCAGCTGAATTATTTTCCGCGTTAACCGCAACTAAAACCTCGAATTTTTCGGACTTTTCCAGTTTTTTGCTTATAACTTCTCAGGAAAGTTGAAGAACTTCAAATTTCCTTCAAATTTCATCGCAGGGCCTTAGTTAGAGTCAAATGCCTACCACCTTATTGACACAGGCTTGGTAGTAGTAGTTAGAGTCGGGTAGTTCTCTGGAAATAACGGTGCTTTCAATGGAAAGAGCCATTCTTGCGATAATTGCATTCCTAGGTGTGTTCGTCCGCACACTGATTTTTTTCCTATCCCTTCTTCATTGAGTCTTTTTACGGACAATTTGTATATGGCGGCTGATCCCCGTTGTATGCAAGGGATGAAAGGTCTCTCTTACTTCCTCTCGGGAACTCCGCCCAGAACTACAGAACTAAATACTTTACGTATAAATTGGCGTTTCATCTTTTCACTGCAATTTAATTTATGATAGGGCATGACAAATTTGACATAGGGCATACACTACTTGCCCCCACCTTAAATTTTTTATAGGTAAACAAAATGGCTAATGGCACCGGAGGCAAATTTTTCAATAAATCAAGGTTCAGCTTGTCTGGTAATGGGTAAATTGATGAGGCATCTGATCTGGGGTACCTTCTGGAGATTTGCATCATGGTGAGGCACCCCAGATGACGTCATAAAGTTATCGGGCAACCTACCTCTCTCGCCTCTCTCAAACAACTTTGCAATAAATAACATCTCTGGCAAGTAAACAAAATGACGCTGATTCTCGCGCCGCCTTGGGCCATTCGCACTCTTTTGAAACGAAAAACTTCCTCTTTGCAAACATCAAACATTGTTGCATACAGTAAGGCGTTTTCGGAAACATTCATCCTCGCACTTCTCGATTTCAGGCCTATCTACTCCAGGCGTTATCTACTCTTAAATTTTCTAGAGAAACCTTAATGCATGTTGATTTTTGAAGGTAGGGCATCATCATTTAAAAGATAGTGCATTTTATCAACCAAGAACATGTAATTAGGGTTAGACGTGATGATCGATTAATTTTATACAGTTTGTGTCCTATTAGAAGTCTGCCCGTGAGCTTGGTTGAGGTTTATGATACCTTGGATTTAAATAGTATCTATTAGGTTGGGACCCATTTCCGAGGCTGATAAGGAAAAATGTATATCCTTATTGCATAGTTTTTCAGATCGCATTTCATCTTCCATGAAAAAATTAGGAAATACAAATACTGTAGAAATGGAGATAACATGTAAATTCGACACTCCGGTTGTACGTTATCCGTATCGCATGTCCGAGTTGGAAAAGGGCATCCTCCGAAATATGATCCAAGAACTTTTGGATAATGAAATAATCCGCGAATATAGTTCTCCGTACGCTAGCCCTATTACTCTTGTTAAGAAAAAGGATGGAGACTATACAATGTGTGTGGATTTTCGATTTAAGGTGACTATCAAAAAACGTTGCGTACTGCCATATATCGATGATCAGATTGACAAATTGGGCGGATTTAAGTATTATACAAGCTTAGATTTAGCGTCGGGGTTTTGTCAAGTTCCCATGGCCGCTAACTCTATTGATAAGACCGCATTCGTAACCCCCAACGGCCATTACGAAATTTACGGATACCTTTTGGGCTAGCAAAAGCCCCTTGTCTTTTTCAATCATTGATGAATTCTCTCATCGACGGTCGCCGAGGAACTAGGAAGCTAAACAAAAGTATTCATTCAACTTCGTGCACACGTGAAAGAGAAATTAGTGCAGAAGGGCCGAAGCCAGGTAGAAAGAAAATCTGAGCGGTTTTGGAAATGCCTTATCCTTGTAACGTTTAGCAAGTACGTCAATTTCTTGGGTTAACAAGCTATTTCCGAAAATTAGTTAAGAATACCATGATTGCTGAGCCTTTGATGAAATTACCTCTCAAAAACTTGATTTGGATGTGGAACGCGCCACAGAAACAAGCATTCCATCAAATACAGCGAGCGCTTACATATTGCCCAATCCTTGCAATATCCCCAAACTAAAAACTGAACTTCATACAAACGCAAGTTCTATTGGTCTAGGAGCAATATTAATTCGATACGACGCTGAGGGCAATACACATGTTGTTTCCTATTTTAGCAAACAAACAACACGTGATAAGAGACATTACCACTAACTATGACTGTAGTGTGTGCTTTAAAATATTTTCGAGTCTATTTATTGAGCATAAACATAAACTTTGAGGTCGTGACTGATTGTAATGCCTTGCGGACTACCTTGTCAGAGAAAGATTTGATTCCGCGCATTGGAAGATGATGGCCGGAGATTCAAGAGTACACTTTTGACATTAAGTATAGGGCTGGTAAAAGGATGACGCATGTAGACGCCCCAAGCAGAAACCCTGTATCAGGTACTGATTTGTAAGTAGAAATTTTTCAAATAGATTTGACAGCAGCCGATTGGATTACCGCCGCATAATTGCAAGATGTACAAATTTGTAGAATCGTTACCCCTTTTGTTAATGAATTAACAAGAGGCCCATAACATGCTCGGTTTGCTGAGCGAATAATTTAGGGGTGGGTTGATAGTTTAATAAGTACAGAATGGCAAGGGCGCCACTGAATTTAGACAAAAAAAAATATAATAAAATTGCTTAAAATATGGAAGTGTGAAAATTTAGAAATACACCTAGAAAATAATCAGCAAACGGTAATTAGTAATCCTGAAAAGGAAATAAATAAAGCACATAACTCAAATGTTGACATATAGGTAAACCAATGAGACAATTAAGTACATTTCAAATTAAAATAGTATATATTTTTACAGTCAATCAAAAATCCAGCATTGAATTATATCAAATTGTAAAATCAATTATTGTTGGTGAAACACCTTAGACCAAATCAAATAAAAGAGGTTAACTTTCAATCAGATTCGTCAAGCTAATAAAAATAAAATAATAGTATGATAACAATCCACCAATATCATTATCAGGAAATGCAAATGTAAAAGATTTAGGTTTCCAGAAAAATAATTGAAAAAAATTGAATGATTGAATAATTGTATTGATAAATATGGTCAGCTTATGCAAAAAAATAAATCGAAAAAGATCAATTTGTAGGTACCTAGAAAGAATCGAAAGTTGGGTTATATAACAGTTAAATGGTCTGGAGACATAAAGGAAATCCTCCAATATATAAGTTATAGGACCTCGGGTTAAAAATTGATCAATTTTCGACGGTAGGCTCTTACTCAATAATTTCAAATTTAGAACATGTTGTCCAACCTTGACTTTTGTTCAGATTACTGATGCATTATTATTGATAAAAATGATAAAATATAAATACATTATTTAATTATGGTGATATTTAAAGTTATGCAAAGACAAATCCATAATAAATTCGATAAATCGAAAGCTAATTTTCCACCATCGCCTCGGTGTCAAGAATAAGAGATTTTAAAGGTGTATGAAAATCATATAAAAAAAAATACTTATTTTTGTATCTAGTGCGCGAAATGCTACTTTGGTGATCGAGAACTGATTTTTTTAACGAGGCGCAGCCGAGTTAAAAAAATACTCGAGATCACCAAAGTATTTCGTGCACGAGTTGCAAACAATATTTTTTCTACAACTCCATATAAATATCGATCATTCGAAGCTTAATTTACAATCAAAGGCTGGTGAATTTTAATTATTTTAGGTTTCCTGTCAGGTGTCAGGTATGTGTTACCTGAGCGTGCGAACTGTGCATTTCGCACTCTGGAGAATCATTTCGCGCACGGCGTCATGGGAACGTTAAAAAAAATCTACCTGGGAAAAAAAGTGTCACTTCGCAAATTCTTATCAGTGTGCAAACATCATTATTTTTTGACAGACAGACAAAAAATAATTTTTTCTATTTTGGTGTCATATCGAAGTCTTTTCGACACTGAAAGTAGTTTCGAAAAGAAGCTCTTTATGACACTCCTTTTTTACTTATCGGAGGTTGGTAACACTAGCTGACTGATGGCCATCGAACTGTCATTCACAATTTTATAATCAATGAATAATAGAAGATTTCTATATTTGGCATGTAGTGTTACCAACCTAAACATATGAAATCAGGAAATATGAGAATAAAATTTCCAAGAAAAATTTGTTTTTTATTAACTCGCCCTTTAGAAAACTCGCCTCCGGCTCGTTTTCTAATATAGGGCTCGTGCGATAAAATGACGTCTTATGAAACTTGTATTTTAATGTACTATTGTGAATTGACTATAAAACTGATTTTATAAAGGAAAAGATATTAAAAGTTATTGATGACACTTTATACAAGCCTCCATTTCAACATAGGGTAGAGCACGATTGCCATCCATTCTCAATCATTTGACGAGGGAAACTGCAGGTGAGCTTAGAATCAAGGTAGATAAGAGACTAGAATTTCTCAGTTGTCGTCAAATGTGGAGCACCCGTATCGACTCGTGAGGGTCTTGATTCTTGTAGGAATCCCTTTTCAGGATCTCTATGCCACACTCCACGGAAATGGTGTTCTTATTGAAAATGATGTGGCCTTCTAGGAAAAGATTTGTTGGGAGAAACGGCTCTTCGGAAGACCCTAAGTAATACAGGCATTCCTTGAAAAGCTATTACTTAAAAAAAATAAAAAAACTTACCACCAGGGGGCTTGGAATTAAAACTCAAATAAAATGGTAATCACAGGACTTTTGATTCAATTTTTTTCGGTATTCAACGGATTATTGCCTTACACAACTTTATTTCGTTAAGATAAGATAATGCCTGAAGGCCGATAAGGTAGATACTTTATATTTCCTCGGCACGGTTGTCTCAAGAAGATGGCGATTTTCAACCGATCGAGCTTCCAGCTCGAAGGCACAATTGAGAAAAGAGGGAGAATTGAGAAGGACAAGGTGAGCAGGCAGCGCTTCTTCTCAACGGAAAACGTTGGTACTAACCGGTACGTCAAATTTAAATGTAACTCGTGCCCTCTAGTGTAATAATTTGATAATTGCTAATATTATAAGTAGCGGGAACCATGTATTTTTAATGCTAGTCACCAGACTGTCAACATTAAAAGGGTTATATAAAATTTAATTTGAAAGAAAAAGGGACAAGTAACTTTACACGTAACAGAATTCGTAATATTCGGATGAATAAAATGGATAAAATAAAATAAAAAAAAAAATAAAAAAATGGAATTCGCCCAGTCCCTGCTTGAGGTCCTCTCTAAAGGAGTTGCAGTGGAAGGTTCTTGAGTTGTGATATAAAATCTCCTCCTTCACCTCATCACTACCAAGGTTATAGATGATGTGCTTGTGGTCAGAGAGTGACGCCTCCTCAGAGACCCGCCACACGGAAGATTCAGGACTTTCCTTCTTTTTATATAGAGTGTCTGTTTTTGGAGTATGGGTTTCCTGCGCGCTTCCTATTGTTTATGTTTCCAGAGTCTGTAGAGTTTCTTCTATTGACTGCGGCATGTTCCAAGCTGTTTTCCACTGAGCTTTTCTTCAAATCGAACCCTATACCTCAACTTACTTTCTTTGATTTTTTTTTAGTGTCATTGTCATGGCACAGGGTTGTGCCATAACAATCATTTATTGGCAAATCAGTTGGGTCAACCTGTAATTACTAATGTAGAATTATATGTGAACTACCTGCTAGCTAATTTTAATTATTTTTTCTAGCCTGGAAAAGTTCAAATATCGTTGGATACAAAAAATTTACTTCCAGAAGGAGCATTTAAAATGGAGAGTCGAGGATATGTTAAAATAAAGGGCAAAGGAGATATGTTAACCTATTGGTTATGGGAAAATTAGTTACACCTATAATAATTGATAGTGAATCAATAGATCATGATAGATATTTTAAAGAAAATAGAAAAATATACTTATGTTGATTTTTTCGCTCTATGGAAACACTTGTTATAGATAAAGTGAGACAAGTTTTAGCTTTGAACTGCACGCCATATTACATCAGTTCACGCTACCTTCATGTACCTACAAGTATTAGTTATGCTAGCATAAAATTTACCTTATGTAATATTTTGCGCTATCTAAGTAATTGAAATATAAGCTACATTTCAATTAGATAGCTACTAGCTGATAAAATGTTATAGAATCAGTATAAGTAATACAAACTAAAATAAATATTGCAAGCTATTTCAATTATCTGGATTTTGATTTATTTATTTATATTCCTCCAATTACAGGATCTGCATTAGAATCGACAAATCCATAAAACGATCCATAATCAGAACCATTAATATTTTGCCCAAAAGTGACAGCAATATTATTATCACACTCTCCAGTCTTTGCCAACTCTGTATTATCACATCTTATGGCAATATAGTCACTAGAATTTAAGGTCTTAGTGAAAAGTTTATGGGAAAAGCTATGGCTGCACTCAACTGAAAAACAATATTTCTTAAATACCTCATCCATTCCATAAAGCATCATTATTCACCTGACTCTAGAATATTGCCTTCGCAACCTGGTTGAATTGGCCCACCGTAGTTAACATAAAAATCTTGTTGTCCAGTTGGAGATAAAAACCCAAACAGTCCACCATCTGTATGATATACATCTACGTTTTGAGCATCGTCACGATCCAATCTTGAAGTGGTTGGTAGTTTGATGGGGTATTCAAAAAGTGGTGCAGCTACATCTAAACCTAAACAGAGAATAATTATAATAGCTTTATTATGATTATATCAATCGATGGGTGGATGATATTATTACCTGATACTCTGTAAACTTTTTCTCCATCAGTCAAATTCGAAATCTTTTTGGCAATAAATCCAGCAACATGAGCTCCTAACGAATGTCCAACTAAATGAATATTTTCCAGTTTACTGGAATTCTGCTGCAAAATATTATCAAACAACCATTCACCGACCATTTCTCCAACCATTTTCGTAGCTTCCGCTGCAGTTGAATAAAATTGTTTAGCAATTTTCTGCCAGTTTATTGCTAAAGTATTTTTAATGCCGATGTTATGGTAAGCACTTGCTAGCGATTTAACCCAATCTGCAGTAGCTTGAGATTGAAATCCATGAACAATAATAACAATTTTTTCGTCTGCGCTTAATGAAATATCTTTGGTTGATGAAAGATTAGTAGTTTCGTTTTTATTATTTGGTTTATAGGAAATAATTTCAATATCTTTGGAAGATATCTTGGAGCTAAATATAAAATATTTAGCTAGGGCTTGTATAGCGTGTAGAGGCAGATTAAATATACTACTCAGAAATTGATCTATGTCGGGTGGAGTCGAGTTCCCATTTTTTTGACTAACTGTAGCTGCAAAATTGAGTAAGTCAAAATTAAATTTTGCACAGGTATACACTTACTTGCAGGGAACCATAATAATATCAATGCACTAAAGATTATTGTTATCAAATAGGTGCTCGACTTGGCTACCATTATTATTTTCACTTGCAAATTGGGTAATTTTTTCCTTTTGTAAACTTAAATACTATTCAATATCAGTAAATTAACATAATAAATTAAAGAAAATTATAAACCTGGCAATGATGATTTATAATTTTGTAGAAAATTGGGTTGTTGCTAACTAACTAACTAAAACTATTTATCACGAATAATAAATGTCAAAAATAAATAAATGGGTAGCAATAGATTCTCTCTTTGTCAAAAATATATATAGTGGTGGAATTCTATCTTTTTGTTAAAATTACCATCGAATTTTAGTGGAAAAAACAATAATAGGGTACAATTTATCACTTTTTATTATAAGAAAACTTGGGGAACTTGAAGTTGTTAATCGGCTTTTTTTATATTTTAATTTTGATGAAACGTCCAAAACATCCGTATTTTTTCCCATGAACTTCATGTAAATACATACAAAGCCTATTATTTTGTCAGAAATGGTTACGGATTTTGTAACTACTCACTGAAGTGCATTTATGGAAACTGCAATTATCAACTTTTCAGTACCTACCCCAACATGTAAATCAGTCTGGTATGCCAGACTGTCGGAAACACGTTCCACATCAATTATGAAGGGTCCAGTTATGTTCCTCGGTTTTGGATAAATCAGGTGATGCTCGTTACCTTACGACATAAAAAGTGCCTATTGGCAAGTAGAACTTGAAGATTCCAGCAAGCAATATACGGCCTTTACAGTTCCGGAGCTTTCCGTTTTCTCAATTTACCAGATTACCTTTTGGGTTGCACAACACTCCTGCAACATTTCAGCGTGTTATCGATACAATTTAAGTCCTTGCACTAAGTCCTTTTGTGTTTTGCTATCTGGATCATCTGGGACATCATTTGTGTCTCACCTGATTTTGTAACGCATTTCGAAAATTTGCAGAAGAAATTTGATCATTTTAGTAGAACTTTTGTCGCTTTGAACTAAAGTATCTTGGTTATGTGATAAATCGTTTTCTCGGAATTTCAGTGAATCCGTAGAAGGTTGGGGCAACTACTGACTTGGTCACTACCGAAAACATACGAACTGTCCGAAACATAATATTAAGCATGATTTCTTGGTATAGGAGGTTTGTTCCTAATTTCTTTGACCTAATGAGCTGAAATTTTCAGGGATTGTAGTCCTTTACTGCCATAAGTGCTCTAAAGCCGTACCGATTTTGAAAAAAAAAAAAAACGGACACAATGTTGATAGAGAAAGAATTAATCACCTGTCAAAAGATGAATATGGAACGCTATCGAAAATCATCAGAAAAAAAATAAAAACTCAATTTGCACTTGCAAAGTCACCGACTACCATTTTGTGGAGAGCCCTAGCCCTTACATGATGCCTCTTCATAAATCTGAATTCAAAATAAGACTGAAAAACAAAACAAATTAAAATTCCTTATTAATGTTCCTAAACAGTTTTATTCAGTATACGTTTTTAAAATTCTTTTTGTTTTTTAATATGTTTTTTCTTTTCAATTTTTGACCTATTTTTTTGATTTTCCTCCACCGTTTAGTAAGTTTTTCCAATTTTATACTTTTCGGAGTATATTTTCTATCATCTCCTGTATCTGCCAGTTATCTGAAGTGGGCTTTTCTTTACAGCAAATCCAGCGACCTCATCTAAAATTTTTTTAAGTGATGATGTTTTAAGAGTGTGCTTGCATACATGGTGTGTGAGCATACTTGCCCCTGATGATGGAACGCTCTAGTTCCGAAACATTTAGGGTTCTATGAAATAATTAAAGTTTATTTGTGGCGCAAGACTTGGTGTTTTTCGTTGAAAATTGAATTTCAACTCCACTTTGAGTCATGAACTACTTCTTTAATCCAGATATTTGTGATATTTGTACTAGAGAGGTTCGTGATGATCAAGATGGATTGCTCTGTGACAAGTGCGATAAATGGAAACATCGAGTATGCATGTCGATGTCACAAAAAACATATAGCCAAATAGGCAAATCAAAGGAAACATGGTATTGAGTAAAATGTAGAAATGATGCTGATAATGGAGGTAAAACCAAAAATACGCAATAAAACAAAAGCTTTACATTGAATGATGTCATGGCAAAACTTGAGGTAATGGACCAAAAATATAATGCTTTATTCACAAAATTTCAAGAACAAGTGCAACTTAATGAACGTCTTTTAAGTGAGCTATCTGAAGTAAAACAACAGCTCAACAAAAAAGAGCAACATGAGCTAAGGAACATCATTATCCATGGAGCTCCTTTTAAGCAAAATGAAGACATACCAGAAATAATTGAAAAAATTGAGCGAAACCTGGAAACCACTCTTGGAACATTTAATGCTTATCGCATGGGTAAGGATAGTGTAAGAAACAATGCCATAAAAGTTATGTTTGATAACGAAGAAACAAAAAAAGTCTTTCTTAAATCTGAAAAGAAATACAACCTGACTAGCAAGGACTTGGGATATGCAACGAACAACAAAGTTTACTTAAACCATGATCTAACAAAAATAAATTTGGAACTATTCAAGGAAGCAAAAACTTACAAAAATAACAACGATTTCAAGTATTTATGGATTAGCAACGGAAGCATTTTATTGAGAAAGCGACGAAAACGCAAAAGTTATGGTCATCGAAAACAAAGAGCAACTAAAAAACTAAACAAGCCTCGAAAAAAAATACAAATTGCTTACATGAAGATACAAAATATAAAAAACAAAATAGATGATATACAAGGATTTGTGATTAACAACGATTGTGATTTGTTATTGTTAACAGAAACATGGTTAGAAGAAGAAGAAACGTTCCTATTTCAAATAAATAATTATAAGGCTGTACACTCATGTCGATCAACCAGCAGAGGTGGAAGACTAGCTATCTGCGTAGCTATCTACGTATCGGATTTGGGGAGATTGAGAGGTCGCAAGCAAAAGAGATGGTAAGTTGGTTATGTGTATGGATTGGAGATCATCAGTTAAAAGTGAGTATTATATATAAACCACCCTCGTACAACAATATAGATTTTTTGTCAAAACTGGAAACGATACTCTTAAAGTATCCAAAAAAATATCTGTTGGTTGGAGACTTTAATATTAAATTATTAAATAATAGTGATATTACAAATAATTATATTGACTTGTTATCATATCTGTTGAACAGGAAGCAGTATGTTAGTTATAATAATCAGACTAGCGGATTTTTGAGTAATTCATATGGAGTGCCACAGGGATCTGTTCTAGGACCACTGATGTACTCCCTCTATGTCTTGAATCTTAAGCTCGCTAACCTTAGAGCCCAATACTTCACTTTTGCTGATGACACCAGTATTAGTTTATACGGGGTTTGATAAACAACTGCTTAATCAAGAAATCAATGCCGACCTTCAGGTATATATGCACTGGCTATCCTCGAATAGGATTGAAATAAAAATATAGGGGAAATTGATATAAAAATAAATGATTTGAGGTTGGAAAAAGTTATGAGGATGAATTACTCAGGTTTAAGCATAGATGTTAACTTAAATTGGTCTGAACAAACTAAAAAATGCCCAACAAAATACTCTCAATGATCTCAGTGATTTTTAAGTGTAGAAATTACCTCACAAGAGAAACCAAATATAATATATATAATGCGTTCTTTCTATCGCAGTTTAGATACCTCCTACCTGTGTGGGGAATGTGTAACCAAACCAACTTTAAGTCCATACAAGTTTTACAAAACAAAGTACTTAAAATTCTGTATAATTATGATATATTAACAAATACAGAGACTCTACATAGGGATTTGGGCACTAGTCAGCTAGCTAAAATATTACAACTTAAGCAATGTAAGTTGGTATATAAAATTATACATAGTGAACAGAAATGTAACACACAAATTTTATTTTCACACTATAAAACAAGAATACAAAATAATATATACCAAGTTTTTGCAAGATCAAATAGAGGAATGAGTAATCCAATAGTTGATGCTTCGAAATGCTATAACCGTCTTCCTGATTCTTTGAGAAACATACGTAGTTTTAGATTGTTTGTAGTTAAGTTGAAACGTCATTTAGACATTCAATAATATTATTAATCTACGTCAGTGTCATTATGACACATTTATCAACCTTATTTAAATGTCATTAGGTCGTTCATAATAGCACTAGTGCGTTTAAGAATTCATAATCATAATAACACCCAAATTAAATAAACAAAAAAAATTAAAAATATCCAAAAAGGGAGTTTGATACCACATTCATTTATTTAGTAATTATAAAAAAAATCACTTATTATAAACATTAATAACAAATCCGGACAATTTGGCAAATTAATACCAGCAGTTGACAAGTGGGCTGAATTCTTGGAAAGTAAATTTATTTCCCGCGTGCTTAAACTTGTTGAAGGGCCATCAGTAGCTGGAACGTTACCCAAAATATTGGTGGACACTTTCTTCTTATTTTCTTTGGAATCTTCTATGTAGCTTTCAGCGACTGTGTTAGAGCGCCAACCACCATGCCTCTTCACAGTTAATAAATCTGCTCCTGAATCGGCAAGCAACGACGCAGACGATCTGCGAAAACAATGTCCAGTGTCACGTTCAGGATCTGGGAGATTCAGGAACGATGCTATATTACATGGCATTTGTATTAATTCCAACTGGCTGCTTAGTACATTTCCCATTTCTATACGCCACAAAAAATCGGGTATGATTTGTGTTGCTTGGCGCATGGCTATATATCTTCGAACCATTTCCACCATATTTATTCCTTCAACATTCCCCTTTGTGATGAAAAAATCTCGTGGTATCTTTGTTTTCGTGAATGGAATATGATATGAATGCATTGGCCTTCATCTTTAACATTTTGAAGGTGCAAATTTGTAAATACAGTACGCCTGCAAGCTCCTGCAAGCCCCACTATCAATGCAACTTTTATCATAAAATAAGTTTTATTGTCCGCTTCCATCAAAAATTGAGTTAGGTCTTATTTGTCAAAATTTTAGATTTTTTTGACCGAAATCCTTCCGACTTTCTTTTGAGAAACGCAATT